GGCAGCTGGAGAGAGAAGCTGGAAGTAGCTGGTGCCTCGAGTCAGAAGTGAAGGGATCTGTGGGTGGAGGCACGCTCTTCCTCCTGCCAGGACCCCTGAAAGCCCCTGACCCCCACAGTGTTTTCCAGTCCCTCCATGTCTGGGATGGTGAGGTCCTTATTGCAAGAGGGTGGGCTGACTGCTGGTATAAGGTCCTGGTGGAATGAGGAGGCAATGGATTCAGGAGAAAGGAAGAGGGAACACCCCTTCTTGTGCAGTGGGGAGGAGGCAGGAGTGTCTGGACGATGATGACGAAGTCACTAGGAGGAAGGGTTGTGGAGGCCTTCACATAGTGGCCCCCGCTTGAAGGACGTCTCCTCCGCGTCAGGCTGGGCGGGATCTCGGTGGAGAAGGGAGAGGAAGGCTGGACGCCGCAACAGGCAAGTGGAAGTGCTCCTAGCTCGTGCCCTCCACTCAAGAGGCAAGTGAGGAGCTCGCACGAGAGTGCAGCAGACTGAGGGGCGAGCAGACTGCCTGAACCCGGGCCCCTGGAGTCCACGCTCCTTGCCCGTGTTCTCCAGGAAGAGCAGCTCTTCAGTTGGGGTTCTTTGCAGGAGATCCCAGGAGCTTTGTGGTGTTTTGTTTTATTTCTTCACTGCAGAGTTCTGGAGCCAGGCCCGCAGTGTCCCTGAGGTCTGCTTGTGCCTTATTTAAAATCATGCCTCTCCTGTGCCAGCCAGTTTGCTCCGCTTCTCACATCTGACAGTCTGTCTGTACATCTCATTTGCCTCTCAATCATCTTCTCTCTGAATAATGTCACTTCCGAGAGGGCAACAATTCTCTGTGTGTTGTTCATTGCTGAATCCCCAGGTCCTAAGACAGGGCCTGGCTCTGTTGAGGCACTTGGTGTGTGTTTGTTGAATGACTAAATGATCTGAGTTAGTCGTTACATAACCCTTGTCATTCTCATTGTACAGAGGAGGGAAGTGAGGGGAGACCCGCCCAGACTCCTGAGCCGGTAATGAATGGGACCCTCTGAGTACCAGAGAGTTCAGAGGTTGGGGTGACCCAGGGGTCTGTTTGTCACACTGTGCTCTGAGAATGGCAGTCTGGCAGGGAGGAGAAGTGCTCCCAGGTGTCTTGACTCTTCAGTGACTGCATGGTCTCCGTTTCTGCAGGATGTGGCTCTGAGACGGTCCCTGTCCCCGATGGCCCCCGCAGTGACCTGGTGGAGGGCCACCCCTTCCGGCCCCCGTCACACTCATTCTCCGCCGTCTTTGATGAGGACAAGCCCATCGCCAGCAGCGGCACGTACAACCTAGACTTTGACAGCATCGAGCTGGTGGATGACCTGCAGTCGCTGGAACCTCGCTGCTCGGACGCGAAGGACCAGGAGTGTAAAGTGAGCGCGCGCAGGAAGTCCACGGACTCCGTCCCCGTCTCCAAGTCCACGCTGTCCCGCTCGATCAGCCTGCAAGCTGGCGAGCTGGACGGGGCTTCCTGCACGGGTGGTCCCGAGGCCACGGCCCTCGCCCCCGACGCGCCCTCCGCCGGCACCAGCAGTGCCTCCAGCACCCTCAAGCGAACTAAAAAACCCAGGGCGCCTTCCCTAAAGAAGAAGCAGAGCACGAAGAAGCCCCCCGAGACTCCCCCAGTGAGGGAGACACCACAGGAACCAGCCGAAGAGAGCCCCCCGCCCAGGGACGAGGCCCCAGCACCCGAGACAGACACGGAGCCAGCCAAGGCGGAAAGTTCTGGAACAGCCTTATCAGAGGAGACACCCTTGGAACCCACCGCTGTGCCCAAAGCTGCCTGCCCACTGGACTCGGAAAGTGCAGAGGGAAGCATCCCCCAAGCTCCGGGAGGTGGGGGAGTCCAGAACTCACCCCCCGTTGGAAGGAAAACGTTGCTTCCTGCCACGGCCCCAGAGGTGGGGGCTCCACCTTCAGACAGTGGGGGGCAGGAGGGCTCCCCAGCCAAAGGGCTCTCGGTGAGACTGGAGTTTGACTATTCTGAGGACAAGGGCAGCTGGGACCACGAGCAGGACACGCCCCCGCCCACCAAAAAGACGGGCAAAAAGCCAGTTGCCAAAATGCCCCTCAGGAGGCCAAAGATGAAAAAAACGCCCGAGAAAGCTGACAATCCCCCTGCCTCACCCACCAGGTCCCCCGCCGAGCCCAGTGACATCCCCATTGCCAAAGGTACCTACACCTTTGATATTGACAAGTGGGATGACCCCAATTTTAACCCATTTTCTTCCACCTCAAAAATGCAGGAGTCTCCCACACTGCCCCAACAGTCCTACAGCTTTGACCCAGACGCCTGTGAGGAGTCCGTTGACCCCTTTAAGACATCCTCTAAGGTCCCTAGTTCGCCATCCAAGTCCCCAGCCTCCTTTGAGATCCCAGCCAGTGCCATGGACGCCAGTGGAGCGGATGGGGATGGGCCCAACAAGCCCGCCAAGAAGAAGAAGGCACCCCTCAAGACGTAAGTTCCAAGAGAGGGGTCGGTAGGGACCGGAGGTGGGGGCATCAACTGAGGTTCTTGGTCACATGCTTGGATAAGCTGCGGCTGGTCCCCATCCATCCCCCACGTTTGTGGCTGTTTGACTGGGCATCTGGGGCAGCCGTGTCCCTCCTCTGTCCGTCACATGGGGCATCTCTCCATCCACATGCCCCAGAATCTCTGCTCATTTGTGTTAGTGAAACCAGTGGCCTAAAGCTCGGTGTTTAGCCCCGAGGAGGCCGGGAGATGCCATAGAAACGAACAGTTGATCACGATGTGCTGACCTTCCTGTGGGCTACCTCCCTTTTCCCCTGCTTGACAATGAGTCGCCCTTTGCAGTAGCCTGGAACTGAGACATGCGCTTTCAGATAGGGTTCCACTGGATGGGATCTTCCCCTGCCCATTAATGAGATGTTAGCCCAGGAGGCAAAGGCATTACATTCCAAGAGGTCTGTGAAGGGGAACCAGGCCTGAGCCCGTCTCTGCACCCCGATCAGTATCTTGCTAGCCACCTTCGGCAGACCAGGGTCCAAAGCCCTGTAGTTTTAGAAGAGATCCGCAAAGCCTGAACTTCAGGAGGGGCTGTAGGGTCTGCTGCCCACACACGATAGCCCAGCCGTTGACCCTTAAACAAGACGTGTGCTCCTGTTTCCAGAAGCCATTCTGAGACTTGGAGGCCTGCAGGGCCATTCTGAGGACCCTGGGCCAGCTTGGTGACCTCCTTGCTCTCAAGCGCAGTGTCATCTGTAAGCTCATAAGGTTGTGGCAACCCGTCCCCTGGTGGCGAGCTGACGGAGCAGGTCCCAGCTGTCTGTCCCTGGTGTCGGTCAGCCTGGCACGAGTCGGGTGACTGTGAGCTCCCATTCTAGGCTGCCCCAAGCATCTAACACCTGAGCAGGACAGGGACGTCCTTAAAAGAAAAGCAGACTTTGGCCGAGGCACTGTCTTCTGCTTAAGAGGTGCTGGCTGTTGGCAAGAGGGAACCAGTCCTGGGGAAGGGTGGACTTCTGCGTCTTCTCCCCAGCGAGTCCTTTCCTAGAGCTTACGGTCCCCACCCACGTTTGTGTCCTGCCGTTGTGCTGGCCGAGGCCAGAGAAGCGTGTCCATCTGGCAGTACCCTCTGAGGTCCAGATGGGGGTCTCGGCTAGGCGGAGCCCACACCAGATGACAAAGTCCCTTGGGGACCAGTTGCTTTATGGCGTAACTGGAGCCATGAGAGGAAGGCCTGCTCGGAGCCCCTTCGCCCAGGCCGCCTGGTGCCCACGCGCCCCTGGGGCGTCCACTGGAGCCCAGGGTTGCTGTTGCATCCACACCCATCAGCTCCCGGTTTTCTGCAGGTGTATCTTTTTTGTCAGTTCCTTCTGTCTGTCTCTCTCTCTCTCTGTCTTCTTGTCTTAGGATGGTTGAAGATGTGATGTCTGTGTGTTCTCTGTTGTAAGTAAATTTAATGGACTCTGCTTACCTCTCACCCCACCCCCGCTCTGCTCGCCATGGCTGCTTCCTGTTTGTGTCTGGGTCGGGGCTGGGAGCGGGGACCCTGGGCTTCACAGACCCAGGGAGGCTGTTCGCCCCGTGGAACTGCTTGGCTGTGAATGCACGGCGATCCAGCATCTGTCTGCCTGTCAGGAATGGAACTGGTTTTGCCTTGCATATTGGATGCCTTCATCTGAAATCCATATATGTGTGTGTCTGAGTGTCTGTATACACCCACCAGCTGCTGTCAAAGCGATTCCAACTCATAGCACCCTCCTCCAGATACAAGTCTGTGTGTGTCTGTGTGTATATTTACACATATGTAAATCTAGATTGCTCATGTCATTCTTTTCCTGGGCCTTGGACTTCAGGCGAGGGCTTCCGTGACACTGTGGCTTTACCTTCAAGGACTGCCCAATCCAGCCACCAGCAGGCATCCCTGTTCAGAGTTTATTCTTGCTCATGTAAAGCAGAGGTCAAATACTGACCTGCCCCATGATTTCCCTAAAAGGCAGAGTTCCCTAAAGGTGGGGTGCATTGTGGGAAGTGGAGCTATGGCTGCTGGAGCCATCACCCCCCCGCTCTGAGCCTGTGTCCTTGTCCCCAGGGCCAGGCTGGAGGTCGGCATGCCTCATCTGCTATCTCTGTCATTCTGCATCAGTGAGATAGAGCCAAGAGGGGTCTCACGGATGGTGCCCAGGACCCCCAGGCTTGTGTCGTCTGTCTCCCCTCCTGCTCCCAGGCAGAACTGAGTCTCTGGCTTGCTTCTGCCCAAGGGATTTTTCCCCCCTTATTAACATCTTAGAGTCATTTAGTGACTATAAATATACATTTATGTATTTATACACATGAATAAATACAGGCTTCAAGCTGCAGCTTCACTGCTTTTATGGTAAATGCCCCAAACATTGTAAATAACCATTTCTAGTATTTTTGTCATGACTATATGACACTGTTGGAGCGTCTGATTGGCAGGACTCAGGGAGGAGCTTGGGGGCCACATATATCTGTCACCCAGTTTGTATGTAAAGCCAGTGCGCAGAGTATGACCGAGGATGAGGGCCCCATACCCCAGACCCCTTGCTGGTGCAGGACTGCAGCACAGGTGGGCAGAGAGGCTGGGGGCGGCCTGTCTAAAGTAGGAGACCTGGTGCTGATGTGGACAGGAGTCTGACCTCACAGGCTTATCCAAAGTGTGCTTACTCCATGTTGTCCCTTCCTCTGGGATTGGCCACCCAGCTCCATGACCCTTTCAATGTCTCATCTCATGTGTCATTTGCCTTTATTCCCTTTAACTGTTGGTGTGAAAGACACAGAAAGGGAGAGAGGAGTCCAGAGCCTTCTCTGTTGACCTTGGTTGGAAAAGACATTAGGAATTGACCTTGTTAATGGTCTTGGCCTTTGTTCAAAGTCCCACCCAGAAGCTTAGTGGTTCCAGGGGTCTAGTGAGCTCCAAGCTCTGATGAGTGAGCACATTTCCATTAGGATTTACACCCACGTGTGCAAGGGCCTCGGTGAAGTGTGTCATCCAATGTCTGATGTCCTTCAGTCAGTTGGATAGAGCAGATGGGTACCATGAGCCCAGCTCTGCTCCCCAGTACCTCAGCATTGAGTGAGTTCAGATATCGTGTTTGTAAATCCAGATAAATGAACCCACTCACCCAAAATTTGCTTTTCAAAGTCCGACGTCTAGTTAAATTTAGCTATTTTCTGGGTCACTTCTCCAGAATGGCATCTCTTTAAATGTTTTTAGCTTGGTTCATCTTTCCCTTGGGGGCAGAAATCATATCCATTAGACAGTCCGACCTGCTCGTGGGCAAAGGTGGTGGCTTTTTGCTGGTGGGGGCGGGTGGTAGAACTGACTGGGAGGCTGGGCCCGCAGCAACCGAGGCTTAAATCCGCTCTGTGTTGCTGTGGAGTTTTCTGTACCTGTTTTTGTGTTTACAATTTCCATTTTGTTTCCAGTGACACATTTAGGGTGAAAAAGTCGCCAAAACGGTCTCCTCTGTCTGATCCGCCTTCTCAGGTACCATGTTGCCTTGATCTGTATGATTTTGTTGTATCCTGCTTCCCTGGGGAGAGGTTTCTGCTGCTTGTCTCCGTCTCCCAGCAAGCCAGGCTTGCGTGCTCATCCCAGGCAGGTCTCCCTCGGTGGGAGATTCTCCTGCTTTTCAGGGTATTATTGTGGTCCCTTCACTTTGGAGACAAACAGAATGTGTCCCAAGGGGAGGAGGAAGATCAGAAAAAAATGGTAGCTGGATCTTGTAGGAACCATTTCTGGTCAGTGAATCAGCTGAGAATAACATGAATGTCACTTTAAGTAAGTGTGTAGAGACAAATGAACACTTAGTAACAAAGTGAAAGTGGAAAGCTGCATGGGCAATGCTAGGGCTTGAATCTACGGGACCAGAATGAAAGTGGGGACCCCGGGAGAAGTCGGAGTAGGGGCTCTTTTTCTGTATGGGTCTCTGCCTCCATCTTTCTGATTTCTCTACTAAATAAAAACCGTTACGGCTGCCCAATCGGAACCAACTCACCTGACCCTCCAACATGTTTTCAGAGGCTGTAAGTCATGTGGAAGGAGATAGCCCATCTTTCTCCTGTGGAAGAGCAGTGGATTTGAACCGCCTATCTATGGGTTGGCAGTAAGGATCCAATAGATACCACATAGATGCCATTTTTTCTGTCCTGTGTATGGGCCAGAGAGTGTCCCTCTCAAGCATGTCTGCTAGGATCACAGCTATTGATGAGTCATGAAACATGCAGACCCCCTACCCCCACTCAAGTCACACCCAGCAGTGAGATCAGCAGGCAGGGGCTACAGAGAGAGACACCTTGAACTTGGAGTCTAAGAGGAGGGGCTTTGGAACCTTCAGCTGCAAAGCCCCCTTCCCCACCTCCAGGACCAGGTGGAGGAATGTCAGGTGAAGCTGGTGGTACTGACAGGCAAAGCCCAAAGCCCTGTTGGCAGAGCACAGCACTGGTAGGGTATTTCCTCCTTTTTCTCAAAGTGAATGAGTAGGAAGATTGGAAATAATCAGGATACACTACTGGTTCTCTTTTCTACTCTTGGTCACCTCTGAAACAGTCTTTCTGAAGAGAGAATTCTTGAGGAAAGGATTTGTGTCCTTGATGGACCAGGGGCAGCAGAGGGGGAGATGAATGGATACCGGGAGGGACTTCTCCGGGTTAATGGTTCCCGGGACTCACGTGGCTGGGCTTCTGATGAGTAGACACATGAAAGGAGAGACTCCTCCCTCTTCCTTGCAGGACCCAACTCCCGCAGCGACACCGGAAAGCCCACCGGTCATCTCGGCAGTGGTCCATGCCACCGATGAGGAAAAGCTGGCAGTCACCAGCCAGAAGTGGGCGTGCATGACCGTGGACCTGGAGACCGACAAGCAGGACTACCCGCAGCCCTCAGACCTGTCCACCTTCGTCAGCGAGACCAAGTTCAGTTCACCCACGGAGGGTAAGCAGCTTGGTTGCCAGCCGGAGCCCCAGCCTGCCCTGGGAGACACTCTCCTGGGGAGCAAAAGGCCAGAGCCACTCCTGAGCCAGGTAATCGTGCTGTGGCTCTTTTCTCACATTGCACCAGACGCTAAGTTGATTCTTAGAGCTTACTGAAACTTGAACCTGAGACCCAGCTCACAGCCCTCCATTGGCAGGTTTTAGCAAGTCACTGGGTTCTGCTAGCTCTTGTCTGGCTTATGTTGTTGTTGTTGTTGTTGTTGTGTGCCGTCAAGTTGCCTGCAACTCATAGTGACCTTTTGTGCAATAGCACTAAACCCTGCTCTATCCCCTGCCAATCTTGTTATCTCTGACACACACCTATCCCCATCTCCCCAGTCACTGAATCACTCCACCTCATCGAAGGTCTTCCTCTCCTCCACTGTCCCTCCACTCACCCAAGCATGACGTCCTTTTCCAAGGACTGATCCCGCCTTGCAACCTATCTAAAGTAGGTCAGATGAAGCTTCAGAATCCTTGCCTCCAAGGAGCAGCCTGGTCTCCCTAAGACGAACCTGTTTATTCTCCTAGCAGTCCATGATATATTCAATACTCTTTTCCAGCACCAAAGCTCAGAGGCATCAATTCTCCTTCTGTCATCCCAAGTCATTGTCCAGCTTTCTGATGCATAGCAAGTAATTGGAAAGACATGGCCTGGATCAGGCGCACCTTAGTCTCCAGAATGACATCATTGCTCTTCAGTACTTTGGAGAGTTCTCTGACAGCAGACTTTCCCAATGCAATTCATTCTTTAATTTCCTGGCTGCTAGTACCAAGAGTGTTGATTGTGGAGCCAAGCAACCTGAAGCTGTTAACATTCTCAATCTTCACCATCTGTCATCATGCTGCCAGTTGGTCCAGTGGTGAGAATCTTTGTTTCCTTGATACTGAGCTTCAATTCATATTGAAGGCTGCAGTCCTTGACCTTCTGCAGCAAGCGCTTCAGGTCCTCCTCAGTTTCAGCAAGCAGGGTTATGTCATCTGCATAACTCAGATTGTTGATGAGTCTACCTCCAATCCCGATGCCACGTTTTACCTCATAGAGCCCAGCCTCCTGGATAATCTGTTCTACATATAGATTGAAAAGATATGGAGATAGGACACATCCTGGGCGCACACCCTTCCCAATTTTGAACCATGCAATGTTTCCTTCTCTGTTCTGACTGCCTCCTGCTCCAAGTATAGGTTTTATATAAACAAAATCAAGTGTTCTGGGACTCCCATTCTTCTCAGAGTCAGCAACAGTTTGTGTCTGGTTTATGTATGGTTTTGAAAAACACAGCTTCAGGGGAACATTGTTCAAGTCGGACTTTGAATGTGGGTCCACTCCCTGGTGCTCACTTGGTGGCCCTGTTGATGGTAGACCTCTGAGACCAGTCAGTGAGAGCAGAACCCCCCTCAGCTTGGCTTGGCTTGGCAGTGAGGGCCTCATGCCTTGGGCCTGGACTTCTGGACCCTGAGACATCTCGCTTGTCTCTGTTTTCCTCTTACATGTAGCGGGGGAAGAATCACGTACTCCGCTAGATTTTCTGATTCAGTCTCTTCTCTTCTGGACTTCCGTTCCTGTTTGGGAAGCTTTTTGTTTTGTTTTGTTTTAAGACTTTTTTTATTATTATTTGAGTGAACGTTTACAAAACATATTGGTTTTTCATTAAATCATTGATATTTTTTTTTCCCCTGTTCATTCATTATTGCATTTTTCTCCCTGCCCACACCTCCCCCTAAGTTCGCTCTTCCCTTTGAAAAGTAGAAGAAAAATTGTTCCATTGTAATATAATCCCTCCCCCCAAGTTCACTCCACTATGCAGCCTTCATTCTGGACTCCTGTCATGATAATATAATTATGCTCTTCATTCCTTCCCAAGTTAGGTAATAATTTACAAAATCATTGTTCCAACGTGCTGTATAGTATTCCGTTGTGTGAACGTACCATAATTTCTCAAACCATTAGATTATGTTTGGACATTTAGGACTGTTTCCATGTTCTTGCGATGGTGAGTAATGCTTCTATGAACATTGGTGTACAAATCTCCGTTTGTGCCTTAGTTCTCATTTTCTCAGGGTATATTCCAAGTGGTGGAATAGCTGGGTCATATGGAGTTTCTGTGTTCAGCTTTTTTGAGGAAGCACCAAACTGCCTTCCAGAGTGATTGTACCATTTTACAATCCCACCAACAATGTATAAGATGTGCTTTCTCATCACATCCTCTTCAGCATTTATTACTTTCTGTCCTGTTAAACTTTGCCACTGTTACTGGAGTGAGATGGTACCACATTGTGGTTTTGATTTGCATCTCTCTTATTGCCAGTGATTTGGAGCATTTCTTCATGTGTCTGCTTGCCATTCGAATATCTTCCTCTGTGAAAATTCTTTCCCTGTCTTTAGTCCATTTTGTAATTGGGTTATCAGTGTTTTTCTTGTTGAGGCCCAGGGGTATTCTGTAACCTTTTGTTATAAGACTCGTGTCTGAGACGGTATTACCAAATGTTTGTTCCCAGTCTGGAGGTTTTCTTTTGACCCTGTTGGAGAAAGTTTTTGATGCATACATGGGCTTAATCTTTAGAAGGTCCCATGCATCAATTTTAGTGTCTTCAGATGGTGCATTTCTGGCTGTATTTGGCAGTCTTTTTATACCTTGGACTAGTGCTTCTAAGCTTGATGCCAGTTTGTTTCTGAGGAATGTTAATGGTTTTGGGCTTTACTCCCAGGTCTCTGATCCACCTTGAGTTGATCTTTGTGTATGATGTGAGTTGTGGATCCTATTTCAGCTTTTTGCAGGTAGAAGTCCAGTTTTGCCAGCACCATTTGTTGAAGAGGTTATCCAATTCTGTAGTAGAATAGCAAAGCTGGCCAGTCCCATAAACCGTACACCCTGTTTGCTTGTTTCTGTCCAGCCATGTGGCAAATGTCACAGGCAGTGGGCCTCATGATGATCTTGCATCCGAACATTTGATGGTGACCCCCTCCCCCCACCGTGGGCTCCAGAGGGATTTTGGAAAAGATTCCCATGGACTCCTGTGATTAGCAAAGCTTCTACAGGCTGCAGTGAAGAACCCCTATCTGTTTACCTTTCTGTGCTTCTGAGGGTGTGCCTGGTTCTCAGTGCGGGCCCACCAGGGGCCTGGTTCCCAAGCGTCAGTGGGGACGTGCATGGATTCTACACCTCGCCCGGGAAAGTAGCAGAGAAAGCAACACCCAAAATATACACCGTCTCCACTCTGAAATCTGCAGAACACACACTTGTACCTGAACATGCCCTTTCATTTCCTTGGGCCTCTGCCAGGGGCCGAAGTCCATTTACAGGGAGAGGTTGACTGATTGGAAAGAGCCGGCAGGCCCTCCCCTTTGGGCTGGGCCAGAAGTCCATTCTCAAGTCGGCAGCGCCTTGTTCCAGCCCCGCCTGCCCAGTCCAGCGCCTTGTTCCAGCCCCGCCTGCCCAGTCCAAGTCCCCCTGGTTCCTCCAACACTGACCCGCCTTTCCTTCCTTTGCAGACTTGGATTACAGAAACGCCTATGAAATCGAATATATGGAGAAAATTGGCTCCTCCTTACCTGTAAGTGCCCAGCTTCATCCCTCGGTGGGGTGGGGGGGTGCTGCTTTAAGTCGTGACTCTGCAGTTGTCCCCTCCCTGGCCAAAGCATCTTGGGAGCTCCCGGACTGTGTGTGCTGCAGCCTTCAGTGAGCAGGGAGGGTGAACGGCTGGACCTCGGGCTGCACACTGTCAGTACGTGTGGGGTTTTCAGGGAGAAGAGAGGGGACGGTAGTCACGGTTGCTGGCTGTGAATGACTTCCTCACCTTGAGACGCAAAGCTGGTCAGGGTTCTAAAAGGAAGTGCTTGGTGCTTTGGTTTGGTGGTTTTTGTTTTTAAATTAATATTTTAGTGAAAGTTTACGGAAAGAATGGTTTTCAGTTATATTTCCTTTCTTCCCCCCCAGGTCAAACAGTTGACATTTAGGAAATGCAGTTCTAAATGTGCAAAGTGCATAGCAACTTTCAACTCTGCTTTGCAAAGTGCCAGTCACATACATAAATAACTTCTTCTTGGTCTTTCATTAATTAGTGTAGTTGTTGTTGTTGTTATGTGCCATCGAGTAGCTCGCAACTCATAGCGACCCTATGTACAACAGCCCTAAACTCTGCTCTGTCCTGTGCCAATCGCACTGTCTCTGATACACCCATCCCAATTATCCCAGTCACTGAATCAATTCACCTCATAGAGGGCCTTTCTCTCCAAGGACCAGTCCCTCCTTACAACATGTCCAAAGTATGTTAGACGAAGCCTCAGAATCCTTGCCTCCAAGGAGCCTCCCGGTTTAACCCTCTCTAGGATGAACCTGTTTGTTTTCTTAGCAGTCCATGGTACATTCAATACTCTTCTCCAGCACCACAGCTAAAAGGCATCAATTCTGCTTCTATCCTCCTTAGTCATTGTCCAACTCTCTGACACATAACAAGTGATTGCAAAGACCATGGCCTCTATCAGATGCACTTTAGTCTCCAGAAAGGGGTGTGTGTGTGTGTGTGTGTGTGTGTGTGTGTGTATTTTAGAAAGGAGATTACTAGGTGCCCAGAATATGAAATGAAGTTTAACTGAAGTTTGGTTTGGTTTTTTATATGCTTTATTTGGCACTGGTGGAAGTGTCCAGCGTGGACGCCTCCTTTCCTGCCCCTTCCTGCCCTCCGAGTTTGTGATTGGGTAAAGGCTACCCTGTGGTCACATGTGGTCTACTTGTTCCGATGAGTGTTTTCCTTACCAGCGGGAACTGTTTGTCTGTCTGTGTGGTTTCTCAGGTGACCCTGGGAGCAGGTTCCCTTCCAGGCTTGAAGAGCGTCTAAGGGCCTTGATTTTGGAAATTCTGCTAGACCAATAAGTCTGGTCTTTTTTAATCTTTTGAACTTAACTCCATGTTTTCATGCCTCTCTGTCCAAGATGGTCTTGGTGTTTTTTAGGAGCTAAGCTAGAGGCTTTTTGCAAGCGTTTTCTCCCTGGAGCAGAAGCTTGTCTCTGGGCACGAGCCTCTTCCTCCCCTTTCTGTTTTAAACGGGGACAGTGGCACCTGTCTGCCTGGAGAGTTCCAGCTGAACAGGACCTCGGTCACCTGATCAGCCCGCGCTCAGAGGCCAGAGTTGCCCGGGCGAGCTCGTGGGGCCGCCAGGTGGCCTTGGCCATGGTGGAGGTCATGATGGTCTTGTCAGTGTCTCCCTGCATCATGTCAATGCTGAGCTACTGTGTCTGCACCACAGCTTGTGGGAATTGAGGCCCAGAGACAGAGGAGGAAACGCAGCGATTGCATGGTGAATGGGGTCCATGCCCATCACAGACTGTGTGGGCAGCCACTGTCCAGCGCTCGCAGGCCATGAGCACCTCTGAGCTCAGCGCCCAGCCTGCAGCATGACTTCGTAACCATTACCAGACAGCGCCATGTCCCAGGTTCGGGGGGCTTCACTGGGGGGATCACTCATCCTATAACGTGTGGTTTGGGTCCCACAGCATGATGACGACGCTCCGAAGAAGCAGGGTTTGTACCTGATGTTTGACGCTTCTCAGGAGAGCCCGGTCAAGTCCCCTCCCGTCCGGATGTCCGAGTCCCCAACGCCGTGTTCTGGGTACGACTTCCATAGTGAGGGCTTGTGGCGGGAACTGCTGTCTGGGTTTTCTTAGCCCGTGTTTGACCTCTGACCTTTCTGAACGTCCATCTAGCTCAAATGTACAGAGGCTTTGGCTTTGCTCATGACTGCCCTTTGAGGTAAAGGCAAATCCCTTTACCTCTCATTCCTAGTGTTCAGAAACTATCAAAGAGGAAAGCACCCAGGGTCTGAATCCCGCCTTCAGCCCAGAGATGTGATCACACACAGGGGAGTTAACCTCCCACTGCTGCCTGCTTCTCCCCTGTAAGGTGCTGAAGGGAGGTCAGTGAAGATGGGTTAGGCCATCTGTCCCTCTGAGCACCCCTCAGCTCTGCAGCAGGTCACAGACACCTGTCTGAGGAAGCTGGCACCACAGGGAACCGAGCTGGAAATCCTGGTCCAGTCGCTGGCCCCAGCAGTAATAGGTGTGTAAGAGTTGGTACCTGTATCCATCAGAGCCCTGGTTCTAAGCTAGGGGCTCCCTGCTTGGGTCAGAGTGGGGTGTGACTCTGATACGTGAGCCTTCTGGTCCTCTCCTCCTGGTCTCATTGAGCAGGAGTGAAAGCTCTGGCTTTTACGTCCAGAACTTACTGAGGACTAGAAGATCAGAATCTGCCCAGGTTGGTGACGATAATGATGGTAAAACCAACCCTCACGAGGGGGCCTCTGAGCATCCCAGAGTCCTGTGTGGGTAGCATCCCATTTATTTCATCATCACAGGAGGGCAATCATCTCCATGTCACTGAAAAATAAACTGAGACACAGTCCTCAGTCACTGCCCCAGGGGACACAGCCAGCCACTGATGGCTGAGTTTAAGAGCCCGTGCCCCTGAGCCAGGGACATTTGTGTCCCTGAGTCCCCGGTAGGTGTCTGTACCCCTCAGACACTGGTGTTTGTGCCACTCACTCGGCCTTGTCCGCACGTCCTGGCTTGTCCAGTTCTAGCCCACTACGAGCTGACAGGGGAGAAGTGCTCTCATTTTGAAGCCTAAAGCCCTCTTAGCCACCAGCACCTACCCCACTTACCTCCAGCAGTGTGGTTCCGCAAGTCCCGCCTCTCTGAGGATGAAACTGCCGTGGCCCGGGGTGCCTGGCTCGCTTCAGTGGGATTTTTAAGGCAATGACCCTAAAGACACCTTTTGTTCTCCCAGGTCAAGTTTTGAGGAGACAGAAGCTCTTGTGAATGCTGGGGCCACAATCCAGCACCCTGTCTCACGAGGGCTGGCCCCCAACCACGAGCCACACTTGCAGGTGCCGGAGAATTCCAGTCCCAAAGAGCTGGAGGCCATGGCCTTGGGGACCACGTCAGACCCGATAGAAATTGTAAGTAAAGCCCAAGCGGCTGAGTTCACTTGGCGTAGGGAAGAGCAGGCTGGATCCCATCTCTAAGAGGTCCTGGCCTTCAGTGTAACCCTTTCCTGCCCCGCTCCATCGTGCCACCACCACCGGAGCCAGGCTAGGATCCTTCATCGCAGCAGACTGTCCCTCTCCTGTCCTGCCCCATCCAGCCACCACCAGAGCCAGACAGCAAGGGCCTCCACACTCCCGAGTGTGCCTTTGCTGTCCCCACCAGGCTTCTTGGTGCTCTGTTTGCCTTCAGGGTTTCACCTTCCACTTCCAAGCTCATTCGCTGGATGGCTCCTTGGGACCATTGCGTCATCTGTACCCTGCCTCCATCTCCATGGTGGCAGCAGACTGGCACTTGGCTGTGGTGTTAGGAAGGGGACACCTCTTTTGGTGAGACAGTTGATTTTCTTGACCTGTGGTTCTGTAGACAGGTAGATAAAAAACACAGCTTTACATGAAATAATACTCATTTTCTAAATTCTGCAGTTCCCTCACACATTGGTTTCCTGTGTGTGCTCATGTACGTATTCATTTGAGTTTTTATAATGTTGTTGCCGTTGTGGCTGTTGAGGCGGAACTGACCCATAGCTGACCCTCAGGCAGGTTTTCAGAGGCACTTTTAATTGCGTAGGAGGAGACTGCCCATCCTTCTCCCACAGAGCAGCTGGTGGATTCGAACCACATGCCTTTGAGATTGCCGTGCAGCTTCTAACGGCTAGGCTACCAGAGCTGCCATTGAGTTGATGGTTACATGTGACATGTAAGAGGAAATGCTGCCCAGTTCTGCGTCCTGCGGTCACCACCTGATCAAAAGTCCACAGTTTCTGGCCCCTCGCAGTCTGTCCCGGAGAAGGGCATCGTGCTTGGAAAAGAAGAGGGCCTTGGAGAGAGAGGACGGCACAGTGGCTGCAGCCGTGCACTCAGCACAGTGGAGACTGTGAGGACGGCACAGGATTGGGCAGCGTGTCGTGGTGTTGTCCGCAGTGTTGCTGTGAGTCAGCCCGGACCTGGCAGCGTCTACCTACAACAGCAGCACCTCGCCCCAGCTCTCCGCTGTCCTTGCTGCCTCTCGTGTTTACACACTAGGGCCTGTGCCTCTCCCTCGTAACCCCCGTCAGGTCCTGCAGAACACACAGAGCTCATGGCCTCCGTCCTCCAACCTCCACACCCCATCACGTGGCCCTCCGCAGTGTGTCCCTCTGTATGGTAGAGGAGAGTGTCCCCTCTGCCCTCTGACCTCCACACCCCATCACGTGGCCCTCTGCAGTGTGTCCCTCTGTATGGTAGA